GTTGTTTGTCATCTTCATTGTTCTTGTCCTCGTCTTCATCATCTCCGTATTTTTATTTTCCTCCTCCTCCTCCTCATCATCATCATCATCATCATCATCATCGTCATTGTCTTTTTTTTTTCCGTATCATTCCCACTCCTTCCTTTCCTACCTCCGCATTACTACTACGTACTCATCATTTTTCTATCACCCAAAACTAAAATAAAATGTTTCATATTTTTTATTTTTATTAACCTATTCATTTTATTCAGTCATTCGTGCACCGAAAAAAAAAAAAAAAACTTTCTTCTGCTTCAGTTACGGCAGTGTTTTATTACACGATAATAAAAAAAAAAAAAGGTCTCGCGCAAAGAGGAGAAGAGGGGGAGAGATAGGAAAGGAATGGGGGGAAAAGGTTGGTTGTTTTATTTTAGACTTTTGATAAATGAAATTTCAGGCATTAGGATCACGTCAAAAAAAAAAAATTTTCGTGTTTTTTTGTTTTTCGTGTTTTGTTGGCCATTTTTGAACAAATCAATCATGAAAATGTTTAAAGTGTTGTTTTTTATATACTTTCCTTTTGTCTTTAAATCAATTAAACACGTTTTTGTTTTTCAATAGAAAGAAAAGAAAGGAGAGACATGAGGGGGGGGGAAACGGAAAATCATTTTTACGAAAATAATAATAATAATAACTTTTACATTAAAAAAAAGGCAATTTTTTAAAACTTGTTGTTTTCTACACCTGCCTGACCTGTCAATTTTTCTTTTACCTCTTAAAATTTTCTTTTTTTTTTTTTGAATCACACTTTTTTAAATTCAATAATCGATAATTATTACCCTACACCCCAGCCCTCTCCCCCTCCTCCCAAAAAATAAGTAAAATTAACTTTATCAGGATGTTAAAAAAAAAAAAAATTGGTATTTACCATAATTTCCCTTTTTTTTATTTACAAATTGACATTTTATTATTATTATTATTATTATTATAAAACAGGAAAAAAGAAAATAAATTGAAAATAAATTGATTAGCTCGGAATATTTACATTCGATTATTATTATTATTATTATTATTATTATTATTATTTTAGTCTAAATTTGACCGTCTTTTTTCTCCCGCGTTTTTTTTTTTTTTTTTTAATAATTAAATTTCCATTTTATTTTTTATTATTTTATTTTTTTTTTATTTTAAGAGGATTTAATTATATTTCAAATTAATTTCCGCATTTAAACGTTTTTTTCCTCTTCTCCCTCCCCCCCCTTCCATTTTCGTTTCCTCATTTTCTTTTGACTTTTCCTTCAATTTTCCCTTTTTCCTTTTTCCTTTTTTTTTTTTTTTTTTTGCAAAACGTATTAAAAAAAATAATTTTAACGTTTAAAAACATTAACGTCACTTTATTTATTTATTTATTTTTTCTTTGCGTTTTTCCGACGGTTTGACGACTTTGCGACATTTTTCCCTCCCATTTCCCGTCCCCATTTCCCTCCCTCTCTTTCTCTCTCTTTCTTTCTTTATCTGTATTTCTCTGTGTGTAAAAAACAATCAAATTAATTAATAACGAATTTTCTTAATCGAATTAATAACGACGAATTGGAAAAAATAATTTTATTTAATTATTTTAAATGAAAACCTTAAAATAATAATAATAATAATAATTAGTTATTAAAAATAAGTTAAATAAATAAAGAAAAGGAAAATGGTTAAATAAAAATTTTAACCCGAGATATTACAACCAGACAAAAAGAAAAATTAATAACTAAACGTAATTTATTTTAAAATAAAGTAAAAAATTAAAAATGAAGGAAACAGTGTTGCCAAAATTACATTTTAAAAAATTTTCAATTTTAAATTTCCCTTTTTTTTTTTTTAAATATTTTTTCTCAAAAAAAAAAAAAAAAAATTTTTAATTGACTGATAATTAAAAATGATGATGATGGGGATGGGGGAGGGTGTGGGGAAAATTAAAAAAAAAGGGTTTTAATAATAATAATAATAATAATATTTTGTAGTAAATTATAATTATTAACACTCGAACAATTATTATTATTACTTTGATGTTGATTGTAGTAATTAAACGAGTGAAAAATAAAAAAAATAATAAAAATAATGGGGAGCTTCCTTGCTTTCTTCCTTGCTTTACCAAAATGGGGGGAAAAAAAGGTAAAATTTTATTTATATAAATAATTTATTACATGAAAAATAAATTTTCATTTTAAGAAATCTTTTTTTAAAGAGGTAAAAAAAAAAAAAAAAAAAAAAAAAAAAAAATTAAAAATAATGAATTGGTTTCGGGGAAAAAAAAAACCCTCGCGATTAATTCGTTAGAATTTTTATTTAGGATTAACGTTTAAAAAAAGGGAGGGGAGAAAAGGAAAAACAATTAAAATGTGCATGAAAAAATAATAATAATAATAATAAGGATAAGAATATTTATTACGAAACCGAATTTTAATAACGGAAATAGGAACGTTTAAAAAAAAGGAAAAAAGGAAAAAAAAATTTCAAAGGTTTTATTTTGGATATTATAAAGAAAGATGGCGGAAGGTTAATGATTATCTTATTTATTTCAAAGCTAATCAAAGAAAGGGAGGCTTTTTTATGGGTCCAATTATAAAGGTTCTGGTTTTTAAGAGTATGAAGGAAGAGAGAGAGAGAGAGAGAAAAAGGAAGAAAATGCCTGTCGGTGTTAGTAGGGGAGGGGAAAAGGGGGAAAAGAAAAATCCAACAGGGGGATTGGGTTTGAGGTTTACCATAGAAGAAAAAGATGAAGAAGAAGACATTTGATGAATGAAAGGACAGCATCTGCTTCTAATAAAACTTTAATGAAATTAACTTCGAACGAGAAAAAATTGCTTTAAAAATAAAAAAAATAAAAAAAAATAAAAAGAAGATGAAGAAGATTTTAGTTGATTAGAAAAAGAAAAAAGAAAAAGAAAAAAAAAAATCTAAAAACGTGGTTTCAGGTGCCGAAACGATCGAAGTGACTGAAAAGTTATTAATCAGTTTTTTTTTCTACTCTTTCCTTCTGCTTTCACGTATTTTCTCCCTCTCTCTCTCTCTCTCTCTCTCTCTCTCTCTCTCTCTCTCCCCACGCTTTCCCCGATTTGCCTACCACGTTTCTTCCGCCACGTTTTTCTTAAAATTTTTTTTTTCTTTTTTTCATCATCATCATCATCGTTATCTTCAATTTTTCTTTTTCTTCTTTTTCTTCTTCTTCTTCTTCCACTTATTATTACCACGTTTCTTTATTATTATTATTATTTTTTCTTTCGTATAAGATTTGACGATTTCTTTTCTTTTTTCTTGTTTATTAAGATTCTAAAGGAATCATTTATTTTATGCCCGTTGAAAAAAAAAAAAAAAATCTTTTAAAAAATTTAAAATTTAATTTTCCGCTTAGAGTTTTTACTTTTGTTACATTATTCAGTTGCATTCCAAAAGTCAGAGAAAAAAAAAGAGAGAGAGAGAGAGAACGAAACCCACTAACTATAATTTAAATTTATTTTTTTTTTTTTTTTAACAAAAAAAAAAGTAAAAGAAA